GTGCTGTAGTCTATGGTGTGGAGTGGTGCTGTGTCCCTGAGACCTTCGTTGGCGAGTCGATCTGCCTCCTCGTTTCCTCTAATGTTGACATGTGATGGAATCCACACGAGCTCTAATTTGCTTCCCTTCTCTAGGACCCTCTGGTACAGCTGCCTGATTTCCAAAATGACTTCTGGTCTTGAGTCCGAGTTGTCATTTTGGATTGAAATCAGACTTCTCAGAGAGTCGCTTGGAATGACGAACTTACTGGTCTTCTGATGGAAGATCCATGATATAGCGTACACCGAACAGTTATTGGGCAGTTTCCTGCTTTATTCCCTGTTCCCCGTTTGGCAGGTATATTCCAAACGAGCTGGTGCCCCTTTCAGGGTTGCGTGAGCTATCCGTGTACACATGGTCCCAGTCATCAGACGGCCAGTTGTCTTCCAGGTGCTCTAGAGAGAAAGCACGTGCAGCAGTGGGGTTGTTTCTCTTGTCGGTTTTCTGTAGTAGATCTAGATTGACCGGTGGTATAGGGAGCATCCAAGGGGCGATCGCTGGGTGGTCGTGTTCATTTATCACGACCTCCCCCAGTCCCAATTCCTTGATTGTTTCCCTGATACCCTGGCCGAAGCTTTTCTTTCTAGGATCTCTCACATATCTTGTCTTTCGTAGACTGACAAAAATTTGGGATTTTTCCCCCCAGTTGCGAGATCTTAGCCCAATACCTTGTCGCTAGTTCTTTTCTTCTTAGGGATAAGGGCAACTCCCCGGCTTCCTGTAGTAAAGCCTTTTTCCTAGTCCCAGGCCCTACGCCAGTCGCAATACACAGAGCTTTGTATTGGATGGTGTTGGCGCGCAGCTCATGAAGGCCAAAGAGCCGTAGTCTAATACAGAGCGTATTAGAGCACGATACACCATCATTACTGTAACGCTATTGGCTCCCCACGTGCTGCCCGTTATTTTTCTCATTAAGTTTAGGATTTTGGAGCATCTATCTACAGTCCAGTCGATGTGCGGTTTCCAGGTCAGCCTTCGGTCAAAGATTACGCCAAGGAACTTGGTTTGGTCTTTAAATTCGATGGTTTTCCCGTTCATACACAGAGTCATTCGGCTTATCCCACTATCCCTGCTCACAAGCATGCCGACCGTTTTCATTTCTGAGATTTTGAATCCCCAATCGTTAGCTCATATCGTGAATTTGTTTAGGGCCTTTTGCATGTTTTTTTGTAGTTCACAGTATCTTGTCCCTCTCCTCCAGATTGTACCCTCGTCAGCACATTTTGCTAAGTCAGTACTGCACTCTAGGTAGGACGATTTCTGTATGTCGTTAATCATGATATTGAAGAGAGTGGGACTGATGACCGATCCCTGAGACGTGCCATTTTCTAATGTTTCCTCGGCACTCAGGAATCTGCCAACATTCACCTGTATCCTTCTATCGCCTAGAAAGCTTTTGATCCACCGAAACATTATGCCCGTTATACCGATACGTCCCACCTTAAAGAGCAGCCCGTCTAACCAAACCAAATCGAAAGCCTTGGTTAAATCTACGAACACGGCACATAACAGGTGCCCCGAGAGAAGTGCCTGTGAAATGACTTGCTGTAGTCTCACCAAGTGGTCCATTGTTGATCGTCCTTTCCTGAACCCACTTTGATTTTCGTCGATCAGCCGTTTACTCTCCAGATAGAACTGTAATCGGTTGTTAACCATTGTCTCCAAGCTTACTGGTTGATAGGGCTCTGTCTTTGCCCTCTCTTTCCCCGGTTTCAGTAGAGGGATGGCGTTTGCTTTCCGCCATTCTTTCGGTGCCTCTCCTGACAGCCAGGATGGGTTGAAGAAGTTTAGTAGTATCGTTTGAGCATGTTTGAGCATTGAGTACTTTACTTTGTCCTCACCAGCCGCACTATCCCTCTTGAGGAAAAGAGCCCTATTTAACTCTTCCTCAGAGAATGGTAGGTTGATTGGATCAGCCTCTTCATTAGATTCAATTACTAAAGAAGGGTGCTGCGAGTAAAAGATTTCCTTCCTCTTCAGAAACTCTGGTGATTGGTTTTCATCTCTGCTTGCGTCTACAAATGTTGTAGCAAGTAGATCTGCCTTTTCCTTGCCGTTGGTAACGTACTGATCCCCATCTTCAAGGTTTGGTATGTTGAATGATCTGCGCTTCCCGTTCATGGCTTTCAGCTTCTTCAGACGACACCCGTTTGCGTGTTTTTATTCAACGCATTACAGAATGTCATCCATTTTCCACTTTGTGCTTTCTGGATGGTGTCTCTTGCAGCGTATTTCAACTTTAGGTTGTTTTGGTGGTTGACTTCATGGTGGTGGCGTTTCCGTTGGCCAAGTGCCTTCTTTGTTTCGTAAACCGCCTTCTGACATTCCGGAGACCACCAAGGTTTTCTAATCCTTGGTTTCCCGCCAGAAGTCTTGGGAATGGAGTCGTTTGCGGCACCTATAATAGAACTCGTGATGTTGGCAGTGTACACGATGATGTCTTCTTCCTTTCAGCCAAGGCTGCCTACACGGAAGTTAGCCCGATCGGCTTCTTTCATTTTCCAATTGGGTCTCCCGTTAAAGACTTCCCTGGTTGGTTCAGCTTGGATGCAGAATTCTATCAGTAGATGGTCACTGCCAAGTGTTTCATCTTCGTGTACTTGTCAGTCGCAGCGGTTTGCCATACCCAGCGCACAGAACGTGAGATCTAGGTGCGAAGGTGGGGCATTTCCTCCAAGAAAAGTAGGACTCTCGTTGTTCAGTACGCATAGGTCGTTCCCTTCGATTATTGAGCATAGGCTAGTCCCCCGGCAGCCATTCCTCGGTGACCCCCACAGGACACGTTTTGCGTTGAAATCCCCGCAAAACACAGATTCGCCTTGTGGAAGCTGGTCGAGAAGTGACCTCTGGGGGTGCATAGACATTCACTATTGTCAATTTCGTATTATTGCTCAATGTGATGGATATGCTCATTGCTTCTAGAGGGCCCACTACGTCCAGTGAAACAGAAATATAATTTAAGTTATCACTGACGTAGATGGCAAGACCGCCGCCACGTGTCGTGCTGCGCGGTCTGTTCCTTCTCTGACAAGTGTATCCGGGCAGGTAGATTTCGTTCTTAGTTGGTAGTAGCTTGGTTTCTTGGAGGCATATTACATCTTTGGGGTTGCGGGTGATGTATTTTCTCAGCTCAGCACATCTGGGGGCCAGTCCGTTAACGTTAAGTTGCAGAACATTTACCAGGCGCGCCATGATGATTGTCTGGAGAGATGCGCGTAGATGTTTCGGATCTATTGATCCACAGGTGTCTCACTCTCCACAGGTGGTGTCACACTCGTGCTTGCCTCCGGAGCCAATACCGGTATGCTGCTGGGAATATCTCCAGCGCTAAAATGGCGAACACGAGTGATCCTCCTCCGGATAGCAAGATTAACCTGAGGACCAAGTTTCTCCTCCTCATCGTCGTCATGCCTTGACCTTTTTGATGTCTTAGATGCTGTAATGAGGTTTCCCAGTTCTTCCACGTTGACAAAGTAGTTCCCTAATCTGTTGAATATATTGGTCAGTTTAGTTTTAGGTTCTTCTTTGGATATCGCCATCTGTATTAGGTCTTGCATGAAGTCCATGAAGCTGTTTTCCGATATGAATTTTGGGGTGAAACATGCTTCATGAGCCTTCTGTTTGACTTCTACAGGTTTGACAGATATTTTCTTCTCTTTTTTTCTTCTTGTCTTAACCTTTAGGGGTGGGGGTTCCATCGGACGTCGAGAGAGTCGGTGCTGGAGCTTGTTTTGGTTCCACCAGCGGTTCTCTGACTACTTTTGCTTCCCTCTCCTTGTTCTTTACTTGTTGGGTTGCCTCCCTAAAGGTAAGTTTTTCTTTACTTTGCAGACGTAGAGCTGCTTTTGTCGCTTGAATTCTTGGGCATTGAGGGCAGTAAGCTGCGTGGCTGCCCTTGCAGTTTGAGCAGTTAATTTTGTTACCTACCCTACACTCAGCCACCGCGTGTTCTCTCCCACATTGGGCGCATACGGTTCTTCCTTTACAGTACTTCACCGTATGACCCAATTTTTGACAGTTAGCGAACTGTCGCACCCTCTGTATATAGGGATGAGTCCGTCTTCTGAGATACACTATGTTTATGACCTCGGGTGCTGTACCTTTCTTGAAGGTCAGGGCAACGCTTCCCTGATCCTTCCCCTCGGCCACTCTAAACCTGTATATCTCAGTGACGTCATACTCCCTATCTTTCAGGTCGCCCATTATTTCCTCCCCGGTATAGTCGGCCGGTATCCCATGAACAACCACCTTGTCTGTTAACAAGGTGGTCGGTTCGGATACCGCCACGGTCATACCGAGTAGGCTGTCCTGGGCCAGTGCTTTGTCCATGTCCGACTTACTTTTTAGGGCAAGTCTGATATGTCCAGTCACCGTTATCCTTATAAGGTATATTGCTGATACACCACTCGGTCCGTAGTTCCTCACCCACTGCCGTCAATTCGGACGCATGAAAAGACTTGCCTTCCATTGGCCTCACTTGCATAACGTGGTTCTGTTCATCCTTCCTTTTTGTTGCAGGAAAAAACTTTGGCGCAAGGCTGCTATTAAAGGCTTCTACTAGGATTTAGAAAAAGACTCACCTTTTAATATCTTGCTTTGATCTTCTAGTGGTTAGGACTTCAAACGTTGCTTTGATATGTTACAGTACATTGTTTATTATCGTAGCAGTTGTCTATGTCTCGATTATCCAGTTAATCGTTAAATTTTTAAATCTCGCGGGCGCCCTAAGCCATTTAAATCTCTGACATCCGATGTTCTAGAGAGTTGACTATGGGATTACAAGGAAGACAATGGGTCTTAACAGCGGACATCGTCTTTCGCAAATCATTTTCTACGAAATGTCAACAAAACTGTGGATTTATCAATGAAACACCACAACGATGTGACATATATAACATATATTGCAGGATTTATTGTGGTTACTATATTTTTTATTTATTTTTGTTTTGGTTTACCTTCAGGAAAATATAGCAATATTAAAAATGGATATCGAGGGCTGGGAATGGAAAAGTTTACCACAGGCCTTGGCTGCTGGAGAGCTAAAAAATACAAAACAGATTTTCCTTGAATTCCACACATGTGGTAACTGTAATGATGCTAGTAAACGATTGACTGGGGCCTTAACAATTCTGAAAAACTTTTACGATATGGGTCTTAGGATATTCTGGATGCATAAGAATCCCGCATGTACTTATACTTGCAAATTTACTAATATAAAACGTACTAGATGTCAGGAGGTTTATTTTTTAAAAATACAATAACGATTTTTCGTTAGCAACGCATTGCGATTTACAGGGGCGCCGGAAGGGCGCGAGGGCCAGGGTACCAAAAGACAGGGGGCGGGGGGGGGGGGGGGTGTGAGGGCTTCTCTTCCCCCGGCCACTAGTAAATTTTGAAATTTGTCAATTCCGAGAACGCTGTTTAGAGCGCCTCTAGCATTCCAAATTCCAACATAAAACCCAAATGAATAGACTAGTAAAAAGGTTGAAAACATTCATCATTAGAGCATGGGTATACATGTATACCCCAGAAAAGGGCAGGGTACCGGTTGTATACCCTGGTACCCGGGTTCCGGCGCCCATGGCGATTTAGTATCGACGCCATTCCATGTTGAGGTACACTCATCCTGCCAACAACCCACATGAATGTCTGAGAAAATGATACGAAACGAAATCTTACAATACTTCGTTTCGTATAATTCTCTCAAATGCCAAGCCATGCGTTTATATATAGATTTGAATGTAAGATGTCTTATAAGTCTAACGAAACAATGGTATCGTTCCACAATCCGCAAGTTTAATGAAGTGTCTATGCATGAAATATTGATTGATGCTACTGTACATTTATTAATCATTGGTAATAAAGGTAACCCAGTGCATCATGGTTTTTCCAAATTCATATCAACAAAACATTAAACAAAAAGGCAAAGAAGTTTTTTTTTAAGTTTCATGTTCAGATGAATTGTAAATAAAAAAAACTAAGTTGAGAGCATGATCTTTCCATTTCTACTTCTGTTGTTACTGTTTGATTAAAGCGCCCACGAAACGTTTACCAGTGGGTGACGTGTAGATCATATTATGCCGAGAATGTTACAAAATTAAATTTCTTCCTTGTCTCTGTTAGATCTTATTATTCCGAAAATATAAACTGGAATTTCTTTCTTTTCCTTTATTGTCTTCCGTTTTTGCATGAATTATATGTTATCAAAAGAAGTTTTTAACTAATGCCCTTGTATTTTGAATGTGATCAGTGATGATTAAAATGTTTTCAATGCCGCAAATGAGTTATAATGAATCACAAGCTTGAATGCTGTCTAAAGGAGCCCAATATTCTGCTAAGGAATATTTCGACATCGATGGCAAATGAGACACGATTTCATCAGGTGTAAAGTTGGATCCCTTCTCGTGTGAGAAATGAAATAAAATGGGGTTTAACATCCTTCTTTTTTTACACCGACTGGGCTAATGACGACGGGCATACGCCATGTGCAATGGAGATTAATTTTGTCAGGGCATTTGCGCTACGGGCTTGTTTACGTGCACGCCAATAAATGTGTACACGGGACCTCGGATTTCCGTCCCATCCGAAAGATTAGACGCTGCTCTTGTCAGGCTCGCCGCCTGCAACTCTGATAAGGTAAATATACGCCGGAAAGTCCCGAGGCACTCTACCGGCCAAAACCGGGTGCGAACTCGAGACCTCCTGGTTAACGAGCCAGTCTTACTAACTTCGGTGGACGACGATCGCGTTGTGATCTTGCCCTGTACATGCGTCGGGCGCCATCGATTCGTGGTTTTCCAGGGTTTGTAGTTGGTAGTCCGTTATTAATGTGGGTATATGAGCTGGTTTGGGAGTTGGAGGTGAAAATAACAGTACTGGATGGTAGGAATGTATTTAAAGTGATTGGCATCACAGCAGAATTATTCGTCAGCATAGCCATCACAGTAGAATTTTCTATAAATCGGTCAAAATAGCAGGGGTTTTCTTTACATTATCCCCCAGATCAGAGGTTTCGAAGGATTATTCATCACAGCAGAATATTTGGTCAGATAGCCATCATAGCAGAATTTGTTTTCAGATTGGTTCTCACAGCAGGATTATCTATAGATTGGTCCAAACAGCAGGTTTTTTACTTGAGATTATACACCACAGCATGATTTTTCTTTAGATTATACACCACAGCAGGATGTTTAGTTAGACTATCGTTTAAAGCAGAATTTTCCGTTCGTATTGCCATCTGTTAACGGATAATGTTAAATTATGCATATACTGTCATATACACTTATAGTGAATAAAAAAAAACACCAAAAGTATATATTCACAGCGTTATATATATTCCAGAATAATATTCTTCATTTGTCAATTCTATCTATTTTCTACAAAGTTCAATTCTACTATGAAATCTGGTAATTGGTAAACTGCAATTCAGTGACAATAAACTGCGAGTCAAACTAAATAAGCTGTGATTCACTACAATAAAGAAATAACAACATATTACCTAACTATTCATACAAATTCAACCGATTTACTACTTTCGATTAATTTCCCCATTGACGTCAATGTTAATTCTGGCCTCTTTGCCCACCTCCAACTTTTCCCCAAATTTTCGTTGGGCTGAATGGTCATGTCTTGCACTAAAATTTTTATGAGGTTGACCACTAAAATTTTGAGATACACAAACTTGAAGAAGCATACTAAAAACATGTAACTAGTTGCCGTACATATCACCGTAGCCAACCTGATAACCCCGTTATCCTTCCGTCTCAAAATCATGAATATTTACCAAAACCTGGCAGTAAATGTTAATTCAAACCCTCTTCGTCCATTCTAGACCAAAAATTCAACAAAAATGGGCACGCAAAGGGGGAGAAAAGAGACAGACATAAATAGACGAACTACAATTTGTTGGGTACCGAGATGGTGAAATTTAATGGTGGTCTGCCTCCTATATGGTTTTATAAGTTCATATATCATCAAAATTCTTATCTTTATAGCTTCACATTTATTCACTACTAGCAGGATACCCGGCTTCGCTCGGGGGTCATAACTCCGAAACCGGAAGTGTTAGACTAACGCCACCTGGCCTATGTTACTCCCTGGTCCGAGCTACCCCTATACCCCAAATTTCAGACTCGGGGCAGACCTAGTGTAGCCGCCAACCCCGAACAGACAGACTTCCCTCGGGGGTCATAACTCCGTAACCGGAAGTGGTAGACTAACGCCACCTAGCCTATGTTACTCCCCGATCCGAGCTACCCCTATACCCCAAATTTCAGACTCGGGGCAGACCTAGTGTAGCCGCCAACCCCGAACAGACCGGCTTCGCTCGGGGGTCATAACTCCAAAACCGGAAGTGGTAGACTAACGCCACCTGGCCTATATTACTCCCCGGTCCAAGCTACCCCTATACCCCAAATTTCAGACTCGGGGCAGATGTAGCCGCCAACACCGAACAGACAGACTTTGCTCGGGGGTCATAACTCCGAAACCAGAAGTGTTAGACTAACGCCACCTGGCCTATGCTACTCCCCGGTCCGAGCTACCCCTATACCTCAAATTTCAGACTCGGTGCAGACCTAGTGTAGCCGCCAACCCCGAACAGACCGGCTTTGCTCGGGGGTCATAACTCCGAAACCGGAAGTAGTAGACTAACGCCACCTGGCCTATGTTACTCCCCGGTCCGAGCTACCCCTATACCTCAAATTTCAGACTCGGTGCAGACCTAGTGTAGCCGCCAACCCCGAACAGACCGGCTTTGCTCGGGGGTCATAACTCCGAAACCGGAAGTAGTAGACTAACGCCACCTGGCCTATGTTACTCCCCGGTCTGAGGTAACCTTATACCCCAAATTTCAGATTCGGGGCAGATCTAGTGTAGCCGCCAACCCCGAACAGACAGACAGACAGACAAACGACAGTCACAAATATATATATAGATATATATATATATACTAGCAGGATACCCGGCTTCGCTCGGGGGTCATAACTCCGAAACCGGAAGTGGTAGACTAACGCCACCTGGCCTATGTTACTCCACGGTCCGAGCTACCCCTATACCCCAAATTTCAGACTCGGGGCAGACCTAGTGTAGCCGCCAACCCCGAACAGACAGACTTCGCTCGGAGGTCATGACTCCGAAACCGGAAGTGGTAGACTAACGCCACCTGGCCTATGTTACTCCCCGGTCCGAGCTAACCCTATACCCCAAATTTCAGACTCGGGGCAGACTTAGTGTAGCTCCGAAAGTGGTAGACTAACGCCACCTGGCCTATGTTACTCCCCGGTCCGAGCTACCCCTATACCCAAAATTTCAGACTCGGGCCAGACCTAGTGTAGCCGCCAACCCCGAACAGACCGGCTTCGCTCGGGGGTCATAACTCCGAAACCGGAAGTGGTAGACTAACGCCACATGGCCTATGTTACTCCCCGGTCCGAGCTACCCCTATACCCCAAATTTCAGACTAGGGGCAGACCTAGTGTAGCCGCCAACAGAATACCCGGCTTCGCTCAGAGGTCATAACTCCGAAACCGGAAGTGGTAGACTAACGCCATCTGGCCTAAGTTACTTCCCGGTCGGAGCTACCCCTATACCACAAATTTCAGACTCGGGGTAGACCTAGTGTAGCCGCCAACCCCGAACAGACCGGCTTCGCTCGGGGGACATAACCCCGAAACCGGAAGTGGTAGACTAACGCCACCTGGCCTATGTTACTCCCCGGTCCGAGCTACCCCTATACCCAAAATTCCAGACTCGGGGCAGACCTAGTGTAGCCGCCAACCCCGAACAGACAGACAGACAAACGACAGTCACAAATATATATATAGATAGATAGATATAGAAGATAGATTTGTTTGTTCCAAATGAAATGTCTGGTTACAATTCAAGCACAAAATCCAATTATTGCTAATTTGGAGTCAATATATGTTCAATTGAATATCCAAATATCATGTTCAAAAAGGGGGTGGGATGGGGAGGGCGAGTCAGTCTAAATGAAATTAAGACAGAGAAATTTCCTTGCAAAAACATAGATTTTACTGGTGAAATTTAATGGTGGTCTGCCTCCGGATGGGCTTTAAATGTAGTTGTCTCCCTGGACTGAAATTCTTGTCTCCAAGTCCGCTCAAATTGCGTTATGGCACCCCCCCCCCCTCAAGGTACTATAGACAATGGGCAACTACGACCCATTTATTAATTAACATTGTTTACGATAAAAAAAACTAAATGAAAATACATATTAAGATCTACAAATGATTCTCTAAATCCACTTACAGGTAATGGTGCTATTTTCAACTCTATTCTATTCAATAATTCTTACAAATTCTACAAAGTATTCAAGAATACTTTAAAAAAATGCTAAGGAATTCTACAAAAAATGGCGTCACGCTGCTTAGCATGATGGGAATTTGGAGGGAACCTTTTAATATTTTCATGCAACCTTTAACTTGTGATAACAAAACATAAATATAGAAATCGTTTCAACACCATCACAGCAGAATTTGTCGTCAGAATAACCATCACAGACGAGGACAATTTTCTATAGATTGGTCTCAACTGCAGGAATTGTCGTTAGAATATTCACCATAGAACGAATTTTGGTTAGATTATCCATCACAGCAGAATATTTGTTAGTTTATCCATCACATCAGAATTTTTAAAAAGAAATTATTTATCCTCAACCCCACCTCCCCGATTACGCTCTCCGATAATTCCTGAAGAACGCCAAATTGTATTCTGTTTATCATGGCATTTTGCCCTGGCCGATTTTGAGTATGATTTTGTCTGCCATATTTATCATTGAACCAAACTGCTTTGGTTTCTTTTGCAATTTGTTAAGGATAAATTGTAGCCCGTAAAACGTTACACCAAGAAAAAATAATAAAGCTATATGACACCATGACGTCATAGTTGGGTTCCAAAATGGCGCCTGTAAATGACAATTGACAATAAATTGTTTATTGGATAAAACACAAACATATTTTGAAGCTGCAAAATAATATACAAAAAATTATCATTTTATATAGCGTATTTCTACTGCTGATTAAAGTAATCAATGGAAAAAGAGAAATGGGGTTTAACGTCCACTCGACACAAACTAGGTCATGGTTGAATTTTATTTCAATAATTCGCTTGCGCGTAGGAGTCTTTAGCAGTGGAAGGAAACCGGAGAACAAAGAGAAAATCCACGAGGTTGAACAGGTGACCCCATTCCAATTGTCACGTACACCCAGGGAATCGAATCGAAACCACGCCAGTTGACTCAATGACAGACCTTAGGGATGGGCTTAACAGGAGTATGGTATCGGGGGTCCCGAAACTAGTTAATGTTCTTGCGTAGTTTGGAATCCCCTTTTAATCATAAATTATTTTTTTTGCCTACTATTCACATATCTGTATCATTTGCTTGATAAAGACGAGAGTATCCTCGTCGAAACGTCGCTTGGTATTAAACTCAGTAATTGTGTATCCATAAAATTGTACCGCCCCTTGTGTATCATTAGGGCCGACATTAACCACAGGTCCATTTCTGCCTGTTTTTTGTGTAGTGTCTATTGCTGAACTTGTGAAATGAATAACAGACAAAACTGAACCTGTAGATGAAATCATGTACGGACCGGGGGTCCAAGGTCACAGAACCTGGTCTCGCGAAGCGTTGCCACTTCATGGGGTTCCGATAGGATTCTCCTTGGAAAAACTGTCTGTAACTGATGTTTTCTATGATATGTCGTGATGATTCCAGCTTATGCACAAATTCTATGTCTGACAATCTTATCGGAAATTAACTGTTGAACCGCATATTGAATTCAGTAACTCGGAAAACTTTATTTTTCAAGGGATATCCAAGAGAACGCAAATCGCCATATTGGATTCTATTTTCATTGTCGCTTTACATTTACCCCATCTGGGCTATTCAAAATTAGTTTTTTGTATAGAAATTGAACTTTTCAACCTCAAAACCCCTAGCCTATAGGCTATAAGACATATTACAAGTCATATCTAACGGAAGTAAAACAAGTGCATCGCTAACGCTGCAATATACGTCCACATTCCTGCTTTGATTGATATGGTACTTTTTTAAATGAAGAGAATGAAATATGAAATGGCTGTAATATGACAAGAGGCAAAGAAGGCTAGGCGTTGGGTTTGTTTTGCCAAATTTTCAGACAAAATATTAGGAAAAAAGTGGGTGTGACACTGCCCCAGGGGGTCGGGGCATGCTGTCTTTACGGTATAAGGAATAAATATGCAAAGTTCCAAGATGATCCATTCAGAATTGCAGCCTGTAGACGATAAATACAAAAATTGGGCGTGGCTCTGCCTCTGGGCATTGGATATGGAACAATATACATAGGTACCCCCTGTTATTGAAATGATTGGTATGCTCAATTTGAACAAAATCTGTTAATTATTGCAACCTGTAGAGTATTTACCAATAAAAACTAACAAAAAAGTGGGTGTGGTACCACAACCCCGGGGGGTAGGAGAGGGGCGGGACATGCACCAAAATAGATAGTTGCTATCCTAACAGAATAAGGAATAAATATGCCAAGTTCCAAGATAATCCATTTAGAATTCCAGCCTGTAGACAAAAAACAAAAAAGTGTGACCTCTGCCCCTGGGGGTCGGGGCATTCATCGAAATGAATAGTTGATGCCCTTAAGCTATAAGGAATACATATGCCTAGTACCAAGCTGATTCATTCAGAATTGCGCCTGTAAACGACAAACACAAAAAATTGGGCGTGGCTCTGCCCTTGGGGGTCGGGACATGCAGTTGTCGTCCTTAGGCTATAAGGAATACATATCCTTCAAAGACGACCCACTAAGAATCGTGGCCTGTAGACAACACACACAGACACAAAAGAAAAAATGGGTATTCCTCTGCCCCTTGGGGTTGGGCAATCACCAAACAACAATAGGGGTCATCCTTAGGGTATAAGAAATATGTATGCAAGGTTTCAGAAGGATCTGTTAAAACTGCAGCCTGTAGGCCAAACACACGACACACAAACATTGGGCGTGGCTCTGACCCAGTTGGTCGGGCATGCACCAAGAAATAAAATAAAACCAAGTACGAAGATTCCAAACCATAAGACAGAATTCGAAGTCCTAAAAAACGTTATAGGCAAAATAGTGTATTCAAGCAAAATAGTGTAATCAGCAAATGGACAGCTCCTCGTGTACAAAATACACGAAAAACGGTGGTAACAGGTGTCCGGAAAAGTAAGCTTACCCTGCCTGGCGCCACACCCGCCATAGCTGCATCCAAACTATTAGGCGAAATGTCGGTAAACTAGCGTGATTGGCCAATGAACTATCGGTATGCAAAATGCACGCGATGAACTGTGTTAACTATGTAGTAGGCATTATCAGGGAGATAGTAATAGTATACATGTCAATTAAATATATCTAGAATAATAGCCGAGAGAGACACGTTATATTTACCAATCAAATCAATATGACGGCCATAAAACTTTTTAAAGGTTTTAATAAGTTTAGTGCGCAAGTATCCTTGTAGTTGAAGCTTAGATGACAAATGACTCGATCTACGTAAAAAATCAGAATAAAAGGAACAAGCTCTCGCGTAACGAATTAGCTGAGAGTAGTGGGAATAGGTATAAAAAAGTTTTCAAGACAATCGATTAAGAATTATGGGCTGTGGGCAACACACAGACAAACAAAAAGAAAACGGGCGTGGCACTGTCCCTGGGGTTGGGCATGCAGACCCAAACGATAGGTATGTTCCTTAGGGTACAAAGAATAGGTATGCAAAGTTTCAAGATAATACGTTAAGAAATGCGACGACAAACAAATACAAGAAATGGGCGTGGCTCTGCCCCGGGAGTTGGGCATGCACCAAAAACAATAGGGATCATCCTTAGGGTATAAGGAATAAGTATGTAAAGTTTCAAGATGATCACTTAAGAATTGTGGCCTGTAGGCGACACACGAAACACAAAAAGAAAATGGGCGTGGCTCTGACCCTGGGGGCTGGGCATGCACCCCAAACAAATACAAGAAACCGTATATCTAAAAGTCATTTTACAAAATAGCTGACATGAAAAATACATTTTTTGAGGGTTTTTGGTCCAATTCGTTATTTCAGCACATTTCGTCTCTATCACCATTTGTGTTTGAAGATTTTAAAACAAGAGTTATTCTCCCACCATTAAACACACTGATTACCAGATCACGCTCTGCGAATCTTGTTGAAGATCACCATATTGAATTGGGGGATCACGTGGCTAGGTGGGTAAGACGCAGGCAAAATTCCCTCATAGCACACTGTATGGCGTATGCCGGTCTTCATTAGTCCAGGTTAGGAGCAGAACAGTAGGACGTTAAACCCCATTTCATTTCATTTCATTTCCATATTGAATTAGAACCCAATGCACCCGTATTTTCACTGTTGACCATAACATTTATAAGATTCAGCCTGTCATCAGCTGTTGAGTATGTTTTCCCACCCAGTAAAAAGAAGGTTGGGACTCCTTCAAGAATAATTGAGTCAACATATGATACATAATAATTACCAAAATCAACGAGGCGACATATTGCAGTGAAGACTTTCAAAAATGTCAGTAGACAAACGAAAGGGGGAGGGGCAACTCTTTGTAACCGCCCCTTCACGTATTGTAAAATTTGTGTGAGCCAAGAATTATATCAATTATTCTTACCCGACTTGTCACTACTCACCTCTGTACGCATTGTACTGAGCTTTATTGTTCTGTGGTCGGGAATAAGTTATTTTAACTATCAATAACTCGACAGTAAAATGAATGGCAAGGTAAATAAGGTAGTGATTGCAGTTGCATTCGTCCTTTTAATAATGTATGTTTTGAAGGATTATTATACAGACGTTAATAATCAGGTAAGGAAATTTATAACATTATTGTGTAGCTTGAGCGATTATCGAACATCTTTTACACTATAAACCTCAGAATGCCTCGTTCGGCATTTTTGTCCAAACGTGGCAAAAACGTGCTAATAAAACTTTTGCCACAATTTTGTCACGTTTGTATGGAGTTCCAAACCGTATTTTTTTTTTAAAATTGCCATGTTTTTGGAACGAGGTATTTTGTCCAGAACGAGGCTGATCACAAGGTTGGATGCACGACTTTTCAAAAGGGTTGGGGGTGAGGTTCAGTCAAACCATATATGCTGTTCCTGTTTTTATATAATAAACGACGGGTTTAAGATGAAAACGTATCATGTATATTGAGTAGGTTGCTCGGACCAAGGGCTTTTAACACAAAATTAAGAAAACACAAAACACAAAAGAAAATCCCAAACCTTGTAACCACTAAAAAAATATATATTCCAAATATAATCCATTCTATTAAAAATAACGTCACGGTCACAGAAATTTAATTTAAACTAATGTCCAAAATATACACTGATACGATATTGGCTATTGCTGAAAAACGTGCAGCAGTAACTCTTGTGGAAAATCTTATTTTCGGTCGGGCTTTGCGGTATTATGTGAAAAACAAATCTCTGAAAATTAATGTTCACAGGGTTACAGTTAAAAATAATATAACTCTGCACAAAATACTCTGCAATTTCGATATTGGTTCTTCTTATGACTAGCCACAGCCTGTCATTACCAGTATATAAAAAACCCCTCAAAAACTCTGACTTCTCAAAAGGTCTGAGATGGAAAAGATGACCTGATAGTGTTAGAAGCCTGTGGAACATCTAACAATTGCTTAAATCCTATTTATCATATCTCTCTTCCACCATTTCCTCCTGGAATAATTTTGGAGAAGATGTTAAGCAACGTTCAACGACTAAACGTCTCTTGTTTGATTGATGATACTTATAGCATCCTGTTGGTTTTACTAACTGTTTCGTAGTTGATGATACTTATCCTGTCTTTAAATTTATCGTATGATGTTGGGTTTACATGGGGCCCCACTACTGGTGATACCTATCGTGTCCTGCTGGTTTTACTTACTGCATATTTGATTGATGATCATACTTACCCTGTCACCATCTATTGTCTTGATTAGTGATACATTTCGTGTCCTAGTTCTACTTACCGCATCTTGGATGGTGATATTTGATATGCCCCGATGGTTTAACTAACATTCTCTTAAATGATTATACTTATCGGGTTCGGTTAGTTTTACTTTCCGTTTCTTGATTGGTAATTGCTATCGTGTTCTTCTGGTTTTACCGCCTGTCTTTTTATTGGTGATACTTACCATGATCTGTGAATCTTATCGTGTCCTGTCGGTTTATCTACTTTTGATTGGCGGTTGTTATATATATTTCCTACTATTTTACCAACTATCTCTTGATTAATGGTTATATATTGTGTTCTGCTGGTTTCACTTAGTGTCTAAAAATATTTTGTGATTAGTCTTATTTACGGCCGCCATTTTGGATTTATAATGTTCCCGTCTGGAACTTAGTGAAAGCATCTAAAGGGAGTTAAGCATCTAGCTTAGTTACGGAAAGCACCACACACATTTTACTTTTGTGCTCGAGATTTCGGGAATTGCAACTTTTGATATAGTCGCCCATGGAATTATATTGAACCACCTTCACAGAAAATCTAAGAATTAAAGAGCAGCATGGTTACGGTCGATTACATCACGGATGGAAGAGAATAAGGTAAAACTAAATGATGAAAAAACCGAACCTATGCAAAATTAAGATAATGTAACGGAAGGAAACGCAAGGTTACCCTATTGTCGAAATTCCTTGGTGTAGGTCTATATCTCGAGTCAATACTTACTATCGAAACACGTTTATGACGTGGAGGCGACATGGCGTCATTTGTGTGAAGTCATCGACGCGATAATGGTTAACCCAACAGCGTTAACTGGTGTTACATAGTGTGAGAGACAGTGATAGGTAAAAGATTATAATTATCCTATGACCGCATGTGTAATAAACTCTCCACTGTTCTCTAATTGACCACACTATTGTTCATTTAATAAAGAACCAGATGCTGCCATATGTATAATGGTCAAGTTAGATAATCCGCTGATCACTAATGACGTTTACTAGCGTTAGCTGTCACACATCAATTGTTCTGAAGCCTGCCATATGCTTATAGTGAGATAATCTATCAATGACAAATGATTTAATTATGTAGTCTTTACATAAGTCATTTTGTTCCATATTATTAATTACCCGTGTTATCAAAGTGAATTTAGTATAAATTGGCTTTGGTTTTTCATGTAAATCAGACCAGCTTTGGCGGCTGACCAGGTACGACTTTATAGTAAATCTAGTATGCTAGAATAAAATGTTGCATCCAGATCATGTTTTATTTCTATTAACTCAAACTATGTTATAATCATAATTTGGTGACCGTGTCCAGCGAACAACTGAGGTTGTATGGAAAGATACAGAATAGAGTAGTGGCAGCCGAATTCTCTCCAGTTTGAACCAAGTACAGAACCAGTCAAAGTCAGAAAGGTACGTTAGCTTTGTTATTTGTTATTTTTCGTAAAAATGGCTGAACAAGGAGATGTTTCTGCGCTATTTCAAGGTTTAACTGGGGAGTTAAAAGGCTTGTCAACTACTTTAAAACACCATGGCGTTTCTCAGTTAGTCGAAACATATTCAGGGGAAAGAAAAAATTTTGAAACTTGGATAAAAAGCATAGAGAAATATGCAATTTTAGCTGAAATTGCCATTGAAAAAGTGAAATTAATCGCTTATCAATCTGGTAAAGGTTCTGTTAGTGACTTTTTAAGTAGACATTTGGCCGACAATCCAAATTGTACTTGGGAACAATTAAAAAAAGAACTATCGAACAGATATGGTTCAGTTGCTGACCCTCAGTATGATTTAGTAGTTTTACAAAACGCCCGTCAAGGTAGATACGAGAGTGTTCAGATATTTGCTGAGAGATTATTAGATTTAGCTAAAAAAGCATACAATGCACAAGAAATTGTGTTAGTACCAATACAACGACAATAGTGTTGACAAGCCATGGCCTCATTTAAGTTTTGTTGTAAGCGGTTTTGGAATACTTTTGGGAATAATTACTGGTATTTACTTACTAGTAAAATGTATTAAAAAAAGAAATGAGAAATCAGCCAAATTATACGAAAATAACAAAGAAGTCAGAGCAACGTATTCTGCTCTGACCGAGATGGTGTCGGCGAAGACCGAGGGCGAAAATGCTACAAGGAGAAGATATTAGCTCCACACCACCAAAAGAAAAGTTAATTTATCCTACGTTAACTTTGTCGTAAGAGGAAGAAAATTGATACAAATGATATACGGAACAAACTGGCTGTTCCAGTTATAGGAAATATAAATAGTTCCTGTTGAATCAACGTTGAACGGGCCTGTATATAGAAGATCTGAATAGATGTGCCGATAATTTTGTGGATCCTGTTGTTGCTGTTGTGTGTGTTTTATTTTATTCCGTGGATAATTAGTGTACACTGTGAACTATTAATGTGTTAAAATTGGATCATCATTATAACAATTTTTCAGAGGAACTTTTCAAATAATTTTATATATATATATATTACTTTTTTATATCCATTAAGGATAGGGTGATTATATTTTTTTTGTTTGTTTCACAAACTGTTGGCAATGGAGGTATTGTTACATAGTGTGAGAGACAGTGATAGGTAAAAGATTATAATTATAATATGACCGCATGTGTAATAAACTCTCCACTGTTCTCTAATTGACCACACTATTGTTCATTTAATAAAGAACCAGATGCTGCCATATGTATAATGGTCAAGTTAGATAATCCGCTGATCACTAATGACGTTTACTAGCGTTAGCTGTCACACATCAATTGTTCTGAAGCCTGCCATATGCTTATAGTGAGATAATCTATCAATGACAAATGATTTAATTATGTAGTCTTTACATAAGTCCTTTTGTTCCATATTATTAATTACCCGTGTTATCAAAGTGAATTTAGTATAAATTGGCTTTGGTTTTTCATGTAAATCAGACCAGCTTTGGCGGCTGACCAGGTACGACTTTATAGTATATCTAGTATGCTAGAATAAAATGTTGCATCCAGATCATGTTTTATTTCTATTAACTCAAACTATGTTATACTGGTTTCTTCTCCTACTGAGGACTATAGCGAACGAACAAGGTGGATTGTTTAATGGTGCATGTACGTACATTGAGAAGGCACATTTTCTGAACAGAAAGCATATAGCCACACACCTCTGGTTGGAAATCTCACCGGAACACAACCTATCCGCCCATCACGCCTCTGATGAAGTGTGTCATATAGTATGTATAATTGATTTTTCACAAATCTATACAATCTGTTGCATATAGGCTATACAATATATAACTTTATCGATTTTTAAAGTTACATTATGGAAGATTATATAAAGAGCTATTAGATCGCGCTATAATAGTTAAAAAAAAACCCTAGATGATGAAGGCTAAAGGGTATCTGAAAATTTCAGTCAAATTTCTTCACTCTAAGCCGAGAAAACCTTAAAGTCTCGATTATCCATTTTTGCGTTAATTATTAACGAACGTTAAATAGCAGATCAGATTTAAATCCTATGAAAATCGAACACATAAGACGGCATCGACAGTTGAGTCTGGTCTTTTCATGTTAATAAATGTCTAACTAATATGGAAGGGTATCGCTGCCAATATTAAAGGCTTTGCGACTATGTCGTTTCCATTGATTATATGTAAAAAGTACAATGAATAAAGTCCTAATACCGATAATGTTAAAGTCAAAATACCTCTAAGGCAAGAGTTAAATATAAAACGTCAAATGTTAAGTGTCAAATGACAAATGTTTTGTTAGAAAATGCTTTTATTGACGTGTCTACATTTTACATCTCTCTCTCTCTTTACATTTTACATTTGCGCTCTGCCACATCTCATTTGTCCCTCATGCTTTCT